TCCCACCCACCCAGGAAGGAGGCAATGCCACACCTAGTGTGGTTCAGCCCCTGCCGCAGGGCACAATTTGCTGGTTAAACAAAAAACTGAGAAGTAACATCAAAGCAAAGCAATTCCCCTTCTTCACGTGGGCTGCAGCCCCCGACTCCACAGACCTTAGCCTCGCCTTTCTCAGCTGCTAGGCCTGGAAGGACACACAGGTCCCTTAATTTCCTTGCTGGGTCATGTGGCAGGCAGGTGTCCCTTAGTCCTTTCCTGGCTGTTATCCTGTCACAGAAGGTCTCTGCCACAAAATCACACAGTGTTTTAGCTGGGCTCAGAGTAGAGCTGGGTGAAATTTTTCAAGACAACAAATTTTGTTTCCACCCAAAACTGCAGATTTGGATCAACCGAAGCATTTTGCGGATTCACAGCCGATTCGCCAAATTGTTTCGGTGGGAAAAAAAAATTCAGAAAAAATAAAAATATTTCATGTCAACCTTTTTTAAACGAAAACTTTTGATTATTTTACTTCGAAACAACATTTTGTTTCAAATGATACTTCAATTTCATTTTAAAAAAAGGTTAAGAAACTAAAAAAATGAAACAATATTTTGTTTGACCCAAAACAATTTTTTGTTTGTTTGTTTTCCATTTTTCTGTTTGGCCTGAGAACCGGAAATCAGTTATTTGCACAGTTCTAGTTCAGAGACAGCAGAGATGAGTATAGGTCTGTTCGTTCACCCTTTCTCTAACTCAGCACAGTCCTGAAGCATGTGTCAATCACAGAGTCTAGGATGCAATGACCAAAATGCATCCTAAAGGTACGTCCCAGTCCAGTGCTCCTCTAATCTACACCATGGGCTTTTGCTCCTTAGAACTTCTCTGCAAGAGCCATATTGCCAAGGAGGAAGCAATGCAGAAAGGATGGCGGTGCACGGCTCTAACCATTAGAGATCAGGATGAGACCCACCGTGGGAGCCAGATTAGCCCACACCTGCTTGCTGCTAGGTTCTTATACCTTCCTCTGAAACATCTGCTGCTGGGCACTGTCAGGGGCAGGATACTGATCTTGATCAACCATGGGTGTGATCCAGTCTAGTAATTCCCGTGCTTGTTAATTGTAACTAACAAGAAGCAAGAAGTGGATGATGTCTTGAAGTTGTCCTTTAGCACAATATGAAAGCAATACAGAGAGTTCACTCTATCTAGTAACAAAGACAAGTGTTCGTCTCTAAGGTGCCACAAGTACTCCTGTTCTTTTTGCGGATACAGACTAACACGGCTGCTACTCTGAAACCATTTATTAAATACTTGCTCTACAGCAGAATGCTTAGATCTGTTCTATTCGGTGATAAAAGATCATCTATGGAGCTTTCCAGACAGGAGGAAGTTATACTTTTGATTGACAGTCCAATTAGGCAGCCAGTTCTTAAAGACATAGTACTAATGTATCCATTACCCGTTGCCAAGAGGCTCGGACAAGGAAATCACATTACAGGCTGTATTTGCAGTAAGGATGTTAATAAGAGCAGTGATTCACCTGCAGGCATTCACGTGTTGGAAGCCTACTCTGAGGTTTCCTTCCCCTCGTAGTGCTGGCACCACCTACCTTGGGAGGGAGTAAAGAACGGTTCCAGCATCCGTGCAGGGAAAGTGGCAGCCCCTGCAGACTCCCAGTGAAATCCTGGCCCCACTGAAGTCAATGAGGGCTTTGCCATTGACTTCAGTGGGATCAGGTCTTGAGACCTACCTCTGTTATGGAGCTGGAGAGGAAGGCGCTAAAGGGTGGCTTATAGCATTCAGCTGCTGGGCTCCAAGTTTTGCCACCCCCAACCCCTCCTTTAGCCCTGCCTCAGGCTTCAGAAATTGGCTTCCCGCTTTCCCTTAGCTGAAGAACTAGCTGCACCATTAAATTCATTTGCAGAGACATTTTCTACAGCCCCTTCCCTTCTCCTGGCCTTACATCAAACTGGTTGGTGCCAGCCTGTTGGGCCAGAGCAGCCTGAGTCTGGGAAGCACACATGAGCACAGGCAAAGCCTCCAGCTTATAGCGCCAGCATGAGATAGGGTCCAGCTCCCGTGAACCCATGGACACGCTGCACACGGCTTCTGGGCCTCAGGGCCTTTTTCGTACAGGCACAAGGCTGAGGCAGAAATTTTCAAACAGGGGGCACTGTGGCCAGAGCTTCTCGGTTGAGCTATTCCAACTGTCAGGACCTCCAGGTTCAAATCCCATTTGGGGTGACTCAGCCCATCACCCTTCAGAGGTAGAAAACTCAGTCTCTGCCAACGCAGATGAGGCCTTAGAAACTCAGATCCTAGCTGCCATGCGTGAACGTCAATGGTAATCGCTGGGGCTTACCGTAACGTACAGGCTAAAATCTCCCATCACCAATATTATTTGCCTGACCTCCAGCTCAGAGGTGGCTGCTTCTCAGTGGGGGCTGAAAAGATTGCTAAATAGATAGTGCCCAATCCCATGGGGCTTTTGTGTGAATAAGGAGTATTAGAACTGGGCCCACAGCAATGAACACCTCCAGCTCCGCTCATTGCAGGATCCAGGGCACCCGGTGAAAGGTGCTTTTGCATGCATTGTGCTGAAAGGAGTTATTAGAGTGAATATGGCATAATTAGCGAACTAGGACTGATGTCTGGAAAAAGCCATTTCATGCATGTATGCATTCGGGCTCTCCAGGATGAAGCCAGCTAGCTAGCTGTTCCTTTGCATAGCTACAGTAGAACCTCGGAGTTATGAACATCAGAGTTATGAACTGCCCACTCAACCACACGTCTCATTTGGAACTGGAAGTATGCAATCAGGCAACAGCAGAGACCAAAAAAGAAAAGAAAAGCAAATACCGTACAGTGCTATGTTAAACATAAACTACTCAAAAATTAAAGGGAAAGCAGAATTTTTCTTCTGCATAGTAAAGTTTCAGAGCTGTATTAAGTCAACGTTCAGTTGTAAACTTTGGAAAGAACAACCCGCAATGTTTTGTTCAGAGTTATTGAACATTTCAGAGTTACAAACAACCTCCATTCCCGAGAACTCTCTGAGGTTCTACTGTACATGCTCGCAATTACTACAGTGTGAAGTCATTTAGTGCTGAGAGCAACAGCATCAGTGCCAAGCTTCATTTATGCCGAATCCTGCTCAGCTTAAAGAACTGTGTGGGCCGTAGCATCTCTTCAATTAACTTCCGCTGTGATTTGCTACCAACGCACACAAAGCCTCAGTACAACTCAGGATGTCTTATAGAAGCACACACACCTTTGCAGTGCAGAACCATAGTTTAAATGAGCCCCGAAGAGGAGCAAGAAAGATTCCGATGAGATTGAAGTGTCAGACATAAAGCTCATTGGCTCTCACATGGAGCTGAAGATTTCACACTTAGAGCTGCGTGAAGCTATTCATGTTCACTTCATGTGTCTCTGCAATGCAAAGAAATTGTCACAAACCTGTGACTGTTGAGAGCTTCACAGTTGTCCCTGTGCTGTACAACATGGTGAGGGATCACAATTCCATGGCAGCAGCGGGAATAGAACTCAGATGCTCCCTCTGCAAAAGCTGTGCTCCTGAAGGAGAATCACCTTCTGCTCAAAGCAGTACAGGACCTATGACACACAGCCATACAATTCTGATTTTATCCAGCAGTCACACACAGACACACACACTATAACCAGTTCATTGCATCAAGTTCCTAAATGTTTTGCAATTTGTGTCCTAGGTGAAATATATTTTCACCAGTCGAAGCAGTTTTTCCACATTTAAAATAAATGAATTCTGCTGGCTTGGAGGAGAATGCTTTTTGGATTTTTGTCCAAAGTGGTAACATCGGCACAGAAATCCAGCCTGTGTAGCAAAAATCGTTCTTTCATGGCAAAAACACAGAGATGCAAGAATGACAAGAAATTATCCTTTTCCAGTTGCCTTTGGAAGCTAGAACAATTATTGGGAAGTGAATGACACTTGGAATGAATTGGAGATGGGAGAGGTGTGGGAACGGAGATAAATCAGTGCCGTTACCCTAACATCAGAGAAAAATGAATTAGGCAAGAGACACAACTAGACATAGTTAAAGCTAAACATTTTAGGTTTAGCAACATGGTCCCATCTCAAATAATCTCTACAGGAGCGGGGGGGAGGGGGAGGAGTTTAGAATGATAGACCAGAAGGTGCTAGTCTGACTCAGTTCTCACTCAGCCCACACATAAGACGAGGGGATATAATTCTCTGCAGCAGGCTGATGCTGATGAGTACTCAGATGGTCTAATGGTTACAGTATTAGCCTAGGACCTGGGGTCACGTTCCTGCTCTGCCACAGACAGACATTCTGTGTGACCTTGAGAAAGTCACTTGGCGACTCTGTGCCTCAGTTTCCCCATCTGTAAGACAGGGATAACTACACTGCCCTGCCTCACAGAGGAGTTGTGAGGAGAAATATAAAAAATATTGTGAGGTGCCTAGCTATTACAGCTACAGCAATGGGGCCCAGGTAAGTACCATGGACAGGCATTGAGAATTTGCAAGCACTTTACGCATATTAATTAATTGAGTCTTCCCCCTGGGAGGCAGGTATTGTTATCCCAATTTCACAGATGGAGAAACTGAGGCACTGCAGATAGTAGCAGAACTGGAGACAGAACCCTGAAGTCCTGACTCTCATTCACCTCCTTTAGTCACTAGACCACACTGATCAGACAACTCACGTTGACCTGTGAGTTCCCTTTTGATATCCAGCAGGTTTCCCAAAACCCATCAGTTTTGCAAGACAAGGGCCTTTCGTAAGAGGTCAAGAGTTTTGCAAGCAGAGAAAAGCTGCACACAACTTTTCAAAATACACTTGACCTTCGGGGCTAGGTTACCGAGTCTTGCTGGGGAAACAGAGATGCTTCCTTCCCCTTTCTGCACAGGAGACGATTCCAAACAGTCATGAGAAAGGTCGAGAGGTTAAAAAGTCACTTGTGTCATCCTGCTGGGCTAAGGGTGAAGCCATGCACTGCCAAAGTTGGGGAGCACAAGGTGGCATGGGGGCAGGGCACGGAGCCCATCCCATGGGAGAGTTTGACTGGGCTTGGCTGAGATCTGGCATCTCAGAGGCAGGGAGGCGTGGAGGCCCAATGAGCTGCACCTGTGAGCAATGTATTCAGCTGTTATCAATATTTAGATAGTAAATCATAGGGGTAATAAATGGGAAATGCACTAACTTTAGTACTTTAATCTGGTCTTTTGGGCTAATACAAAGCGTAATATAAGTTTAACAGCTGATACTTCCTGCTGGAAGGGATGCACTCTGTGCTGGCAGACGGGTGCATTCAGTGCTAGAATAGGTAGGTCTACAACTCCTCTAATCCAATGCTCCTTGTTGCATGGTGCAGGACGGGTGCTTGTGGCAGCCTGATGTGTCCACAGGCCCATTCTTCGCCCCCTCCACTACCTGCCCAGAGGCCAAGTCCTGGGCAAGGCTTCTGCGAACAGTACCATATTCCAGATCAGCCTCATGCTTCCTGGGCTGGGGAAACGTCCGGCAGGGGCAAAGGGTGAGCCATGTCATCCTGCTCAATGGGAACTCTCCTGGAAGGAAGGGGAGGGTTAGGAACTCATAACGCCAAATCCCAGCTGGCGTCAATCAACCTGGCTCCCCTGACTGTGACAGAGCTGTGCCCCAGAGCCCCGCTGAGGATCTGCCCTGAGCTCCCAAGGGTGGGGAGCTGGGATGGGTTTTCGGCCACTTCTCTTGGGACCCCGGCTGGCTAGTCTACGAGCCGCCCCAGCTAGCTCCCAATCACGAATCATCGAACCAGCCAGCCAGGACATGGCAGTGATGAAACAAAGGGCCAGCAAGGTACTGCCATGTATCAGCACGGGGCGAAGCACAAACCAACAGAGAGACTACTGTCACCAAGCAGGGCACTTGTCAGACCCCCATCTGGAACCTAGCGTGGTGCTGGGGATGTTCCTGTCCCCGGCAGAAATGGGGCCCAACGTCTGAGGCAAATCACACCGGGGGGGGGGGTTGCCCTGGTGACACCCTCACATAGACAAGCAATGCTGCTATTGCAGTGGTGCAGCGAACCCCTGCTTGAACCCGGGATGAGCACAGCAGTGCCAGCAGTGGGTTGACTGGTTTCACTGCAGATGCCAGGGACTAGCCCTGGGGCTGCCATGGCTGGAGTTGGGGCTCCCGAGCCCAGACTTTCAGCCTGTTCTGCAGCCAGATAAGCCACGAGGCGAGGCAACCGTCTTTGGTTCAAGAACCTTGCAGGCCTTGGGGTCTGACCTGAAGAACTCCCGTTAATGACAATGCTCTTCAAATCAGGCCCCAGATGACCAGCTGAAGGCGGACACGGGTGATAGAACTGGAGTCCAAGTGAGTTAGGCTGGATAGCAGAGAAACCCCCTCCCAGCAGAGGCTCAGCAGAGTAGAAGGGAGAGCCAAGGAAGGTAGCATAGAGGGATTTAAAGCTCTGATGGATAATCACTGGGAATGGTAGTAAATGTAACTGCCCATACCTGGCCAAAATTTGGGCACAGCTGAGGGAGACAGACAAAGGACTGAGTGACCCTGTGCGTCTCTCTATCCTCCAGTAGCTTGTTCCTTTCTTTGTATAGTAACTAGAGCCCATTACCAGCTGCTGAAGGCCAGGTATATTGCCTAGTAGTAAGAGCAGAGACAGGGGACCGGGGTACTACTCTGCGCTCTGGCCTTGACTTACCAGCTGCCTCTGCTGGCAAGCTTGGTAGCTGTAATTCGCTGCCAGTCACGTGAGCCGCGAAGGAGCTGTAGTGTAGACAGGGTGCAGGCATTTGTACGACCAGCTGTGAAGCCGGGCTATAAAAGTTTGTTTGGTGGACGAGGCCAGAGAGAGAACTTGGACAAGGCACTTTGCTTCTCAGTGCTCAGTCTGCCCATCTCTAAGTGAGGGTGGTAGCTATCCGACTGCCCTGGCGCGCAGTGCGGCTCCATTAAACCTTGCCAACCTCTTGCAGGTCTTCAGCTGAACTGACCTATGGAAATTCAAAGGGTTATTTTCTTCGTATTGTTTTATTACAGACAAACGAGGTTATTCTTTCGCTGAATTGTGCGTGGCAGAGACTAACCAGCTGTCACCCAGCCTCTTTAGAAAATAACCAATCACAATCCCAGCTCTGGAGCTGTTTTTCCTTTGGGATTATTATGGCTTGCTGCAGAGACAGTTTTGAAGACCTGGGTTTCCCTGCCTTCTCCCATACATCTTTGAGTCAGCGAGGCAGAGAAATAATAATAAGTCGTTAGCATGACAGAATAGTGGAGCAATCGGTCCACACCCAACCGACAAAACAAAGCACAAGACACTGGGGTCAGTCGGAAGGACATAGACCCAGGTGTGGTGCTTTGAAAGAGGCAAGCTGCTATACCCCAGCTTGGCAGCATTCACTGCCTGTAGTCCTGGTTTCAAAGTCCTGTAAGCTTGCCTGTGATTTAAAGCTATTGAACAGAATGGTGTCAGCAAATGCCACAAGACGTGAGTTCTGCTCCAGGTCTCCCAGGTAGCAGGTTCTGGGTGTAGAGCTAGTGAGAAGTGATGGCTTGACAGCTCTGGAGGCTGTTTCCCCACAAAGCAAGTACCGCACAGGCAGGAGCAATGCTTGATTTTCTCACACAGCCGAGTTTTCTCCTGGGGTCATGGATCTCCCATCTCTTTATCTTTAACCCCGAGTAAAAAGGCCATAAAAAAAGCTTTGAAAGCAGGTGGCAGAGGCAGGCTCAGGTGCCTGCGCCCGATTCCCCTGGGATGTGCGTTGCCGAAGTTAATATTAAACTGCGTGCGTGCACATCAGCAGCCACCCTTTGTTCTCCAGGCCTCGCTCATTCATGTGTGCACCAGAGAGGGGCCCAAACTCGATCACCAGTTCCAAGCCTCCTGCACCGAACACGGGGGAGGTCTGGACCACGGTCGGGATCCAGGGCTGAAGTTTGTATCTCAGACCCGTGTCAATAAGAGACTGATCTATCTTATCTCACACTGCTGCTCCTCGCTGTCGTATCGGATCTGAATCAGAATGCTGATACAGAGTTTCCATTGACTTTTGGGGCGGGGGGGTTGGGCCCAGGTCTGGATTTCATGACTCAGGACCCAACTCTACTAAACACTCGCTCGGGAGGTGATCCAGCTACCAGCAGCTTCCCAGTCTGATAAAGGAAATGATGCAAACATATCACCTTAAAATACACAAACTGGGCAATTAGTTCACCTGATTCCACCCCTTTCCCCAAAGAGGTGACTTAAAGCACTTATGAAAATTGAGGTGAAGGCTGCAGGGACCTCTTAAGGAGAGATGAGTGCTAGGCCCCATGAGAAAAGACTCCCAGGTCCCTAGACATCTGAGTCCATCAGTCCGTGCACAAACCCATCCCTACTAGGCATCCCTGTGGTGAGTAGCTTCCCCTTCTGCCATCTTCCCACGCAGCCCTCTCCTCTCTGGGCAGCCTGAATAAATCCCTCATGCCAGCTCACGTTAGGGCCAGAAAGATGCATTTGGTAGTGGCTGGACTGAAGGCTGCACCAAGACATGAAATAAGGAAAACTGATTTTCCACAGGCTCATGTGCGTGTTGGAAGCCTAAGGATCCAGTCTCTTTCTCATCGCACCGAGCCCTCAGCACTGTAATCAGGGGGCTGTTGATGGCCTTTTGGGTTGGGGTTGAGCAGGAAGGTGCATTGCGATCCCGCAGCCAGTTGTGGCTTTCATAAGTCTGTGGAAATATGGTTATAATTAGACGTAGGGATAAGGCATGGGGGGGGGGAATGTATGCTTTTATACGATCCCATGAAAAGTTCCTGCTCAGAATATTACGCACATTTCCTGGTGGACACAGTTCAATAGCACAATATACAGCCGCTTTGAAAAGGAATCTGGGAAAGCTCAGAATAAAAATGTTGTCTCTGCGGAGATAATGTGTGCAATATCCTTCCATGGGGAGCCCACATCTGTTCCAGTTCAACCACCTTCCTTCATTCAGGGAGCAGAGCGCGGTTTCCTAGCCCAGTGCCAAAAACAGGCTTGTGCTCTTCTGTTCCCACCAGAATCTATTTATTGTTGAGGGGGAAATAAAGCTCTATTTAAAAAAAAAAAAAATCTGGATCTAGAGGCTGGGTCTGAAATGTCACTGACTGGGCACATCCCCTGAAGTAAACATCCCTTGTAGAAGCAGGAGGGGGAAGGGAACCTGTTGCCACTGCAGAAAAGAACAGGAACATAAATTACAAAACGGACAGCGATCCAAGAGAAAAAAGGGGAGTTGTAGTAATGGTGTAAACTGATTCAGGGTGTTTTCTGCGTATTAGTAAAGGATCTCCCCCTGCAGGACGATCTTCCTGGTTATGTTAAAGAGGGTCATTTAGCATTCAGTTACATCTTTGCCAATGTCCAGGACAGGGAGGAATTGCGTAGCGTGGCACCTAGAGCAATTACTAGGAGCAATGAGATGTGATTAAGGGAGTGACAATAATACAGATGTTAAGGGAAGGGTAATAAAGGCTGTCTAATGAAAAAGTTCCTGAGAGTGACATGTTTTAGACTGCAGATTAGACTCCCAAAGGACATGGAGGAAGCGCCCTCCTGGTCGGTCCATTTGATACTGTATTAGCCCTTGCAAATGTTCTGAACATTCCTGCCCTGATGGGGGACTGACTAGATGAGCTTGTGGGATGCTCATCGCTGATTTCTACGATTCCACATCTCTTTCTTTCTTTTCCGAGTCTCGTACAGTTTTGCTCAGCTCTGAGACACATTCGCCTCTGCCTGACCGTTCAGAACAGCCCCTTCTGTTCAGCGCCAGAGCTTCCGTGACCTAATCCACATTAAGCCGAGCCTTTGAGAAGCCCCATTAAACACATGCCACCTTGCCAGCCAAAAGGGGCTTTTGAAGGAGACACACCGCATTAAGTCCCATGGACTCAATAACCCCTTGAAAAGAACAGAGCGCACAGAGATTTTTTTTTTTTTTTAATTCCCCCATGAGTTTAGCATCAGGAAGAAAAAATTTGAAATGATGCAAACCTGCGAGAGAAAGGAGCTCTAAAAGGATCCCTGGTGTTTATCAGATGGGAAGGGAGGGTAAGCATGGGGTACAGTATACGGGGCAAGTTATGGTTCCTTTTTCCAAGAACTGCACCTTTCAGTCATGTGAGTAGAGGGGCGGGGCAGTGCTGGGCATGAATTCGTGACGGCTGTTTGAGACGGAGTCTCATACACTCTGCGTTCTTTCTTTCTTGGGTATTTTGCTTAGTCAGAATTCTCTCCCCCAAACCAGTAGAGAGCTGCTCTTTGCATACGGAAAGCACAACAGCAAAAGAGAAAGATACTAACAAAAGAAAAAGGGAGATATATCTCACTTTCATTTCCTTTCAACGTCTTCCCATTCAGCATGTGATTGAACGTTCCTTTCCCCCACCCACGGCAGGGTTGCACGCCGAAACACTGTGAGGTTTTCCCCTTTCAGCCTGTAATGCTTTTCATTTTAACTGGAGATGAGAGAGAGCAGGAACCTTTGGATCCACATCCGTATCCAAACTTCTGCAAACCTGGGAGTGAGGCCTGGAATTTTGGGTCAGCCCAAGGAAACAGCTGCAAAGTTCTGATCAAGATCGAAACTTGCCCAGAGTTCCAGGGCTCTGGTCAGATGTGGGGTCTTAGCTTTGGCCTGCCAGCCCTGCTGCTACATTAATGTAACATGCCCCACTCAGCCCAGAATGCCCTCAGCGTGGGAAGATGCTCAGCCCAGGTACCATACACACAGGAACAGCGTCTTACCCTTCCAGTGTTTCTAGCAAACATCCCGGCCCCTTGAAAATTCAGCACTTTCTTGCTCCTCAGACGCTTCCAGCCAGCAACTGAAAGCAGCTGCCTTTTGCCTCTTAACTTCCTCACAATAGCAACCAAGCAGGCTGCACACCCATAAGGGACTGCTGGAGAGCCAAAGAAGCAGGGAGAAAAAGAGGTGACCAAAAAAAAAAAAAAAAAAAAAAAACCCAGTTCCCTTTCCTAGCTCCCCCTGCAGGTAGAGAAAAGAGAGCGGGTAAAGTTTGCTTGTTGCTTTCTTTCCCAGTTTGGGAGGCATCAGGATACTACGGAGATTGGCCAGATATGTACCTAGGCAGAGAACGAGGGAGAGAGAAGGTGGGTGGACTTTCGCTTTTTCTCTCTTCACGGTGTAACTGTGACTCTAAAAACCCCTCAATGCCAACTGGCAAAGCGTTCACTGTTCTGTAACAGCAACTCCTACAAGGCCTGACAAACTCGCTACGCCTAACATGCTGCGTTCATAGTATTTATCCACGAAGGGTCCTATGAGGTGTCTAATAAAAGCTGGTGTCATGATGATCCCCATAACTGTTAGGAGAGGTACGTATGGGTGAGGTACGTTAAGGACTTGTGTGTGTGTGCTGAAAATATATTTTTGAAGCTATGTCCCAAGCAGAATTGACAACCAGGTTTTGCCAGACCAAAGGATGCAGATTCAGCTGTCTGCCTAGGTTCATACACTAAGCATTGTAAACCACTCCAGTAGAAGCCCATTTTGCATATGAAATCAACATGAGTACGTGAAGAACACTTGCAGCCAGCACGGCAGGAAATGAACCTCATGGGGAGGGTTGTCCTGGCTCTGGGGACAAAACTCTGAGTTTTGGGAAATATAAGGAATAACAAAAGGATCCTTTACTGAGGAAGCAAAAAGGCGAGCTCCTTTTGCATTCATGAAAGGTGGATCCCCGCCACCTTGGTGGGTGATGCTAGGACATTGTGTTAGGTGAGAAACTGATTTAGACAAGGGTTTTAGCCTGTTAACTTTAAGTTTGGACTCTAAGAAGCACATTGTACTTTTGGTTATATGCACCCATTGCTGTTTCCATTAGCCGTAGTCATTCGCTCTTAGCCTTTGATGATGAATTGATGATCTATCATAACTATGTCTCGGTGCAGTGATGTTATAAAGGATCTGATCCAGAGTTGTACCAGTCAAGT